ACTGGGTGTGTGGGCATGTGCCCAAGATCCTGCCAGGCTGGAGGGCTGGAGGAAAGAGATTGAGACACTGTCCCAAGAATCTAAAGGAGAGCCCCTGAGGGGCCAGCACTATTAGAACCTGGGCAGAACACTCCCTTCCTGAAGCTTTTCAGGGCTCCCACCACCTACCTAAGTCCAAGCCCTTAGCACGGCCTCAGAGGCCCTTCATGGCTAGCCTAAGCTCAGCCTCATCTCCTCCCCGCCCCAGCCCCAGCCCCCACCACACACCCTGCAGGTGCTTGGTTCCCAGCCCATGCTGTGCATTGCCATGCTGCTCGGCCTCTGCACTGGTCCTTCAGCCAGCACCCCCTTGGTCCCCCATGCCTCTCCTCCCTTTTCAGTCCCAGCTCATCTACCACCTCCCTGGGGATCCTCCAGTCCTGCATAGCTGCTATTCATTATCCACTCCTTGTCCTCCGGTGGGACAAGGAGACGCCCTTCCCTGCTGTCTCTCCTGGTCTGGACAGAGATGAGCACCCCCACTCCTGTGTCCACTCCTGCAGATTTCTGGGCCCTGGGCAGGGTGAATGCCATGTGGCTGTCCTTGGGTCAGTGAGGGTGGGCCAGGGCTGTGATCCCTGGGGGTGCTAAGCTGACAGTTTAGCTGCCTAGCTGGGGGCCACCTTCCCCATGAGGGATTCCTGACAATACTGTCTGAGCCCCTGGGTCCAACTTTTCAGGGACTGGTGAATACTCTTTATTGGCTTTGGGCAGGGTGAGGGGGCCCTGGCTAACTCCTAGATATCTTCCTCAACTTTTGTTTTTGTTTTAGTTTTTGCTATAGGGCACGTGTGCTACCAGTGGAAGACAGAGAGAGTGAAAGTGAGAAATCACCCTCCAGGGGGATAGCCGCATCACAATCCCTTCTCCATTCTCTCAGAGTTCTCGCATGCCTGTTTTTGTTTGTTTGTTTGTTTGTTTGTTTGTTTTTAGAATTATTTAGTTAATTTTTAAATTTTTATTTATTCGTTTATTTTAATTTGACCAGAGAGAGACAGAGAGAGAGAGAAAAAGTGAGAAAGTGAGCCAACAGGTCTGGGACTCAAACCGTGGTCGACCATGTGGAGGTATCCAGCACTTTAACCACCATGCCACATGCCTGGTATGTTTTTAAGCCACTGGGGCTGGGACACAAACCGCACAGTCGGCCATGTGGGATCCAGCCACCTTAACCTCCGCACCACCTGCTGGCCCTATCTTCCTCAACTCTTAGAGCCCCATTTCTCACCTCCAACAACTGTGCATGTCCCTCCACTGGCCCACACCAAATGTGAGTTACGTATGCATCTTCCTAATTAAACCAAGGAGGGCTGAGATAGAGCTGGTCAGCCCTCCCTGATACTCAAGAGGGACTCGGTGAAGCTTCCACTGAGTGAAAGAACGACTGAGCAGGGGCCAGGGCCCTACCTCCCCATGGCATTCCCAGGAACCTGTCAGCTGCCTCTGAACCTAAATCAAGTGTACTGGGCGGCTGGGGAGATCCTGTGAAAACGACGCCAGACCGTGGTACTCTTCCACCCGGGCCCTCGAAGGTTCCCACTCCTCTGAGAGCCAGTCCTTGCAGCGGCCTTCCGGCCCTGAGAGCCCTCCTCCTCTCTCTGGGCTCCCGCCATGCTGGCCTCCTTGCCGTGCCTCTTACTCCCAACACAAGCTCAGGGCTTGGTGCCACCACCCTCTGCCTGGGAAGCCCTCCAGCTCCCTTTGGACCTTTGCTTTTCTCAGGGAGGCCCTGCCTGCTCCCTAAAACTGCAACCTCCCCAGGGCATCAAGTACCTCCTAATCTCTCCCCTGCTTACTTTCTCCGAGATAGAGGTGCTATTATGGTCCCAAATCGCTCTGTGCTTTATGTGTTTATTGGTCTTCCCAACCAGAACATCAGCCCCGGGGAGCAGGAACCTGGGGAGCAGGAACTGTTCGTTTATCCTCAGCCAGATCCTGATGCCAGGACAGTCCCCCAAACACAGCCAGTGCTCGGGAATGCGCATCGGATAAGTGAATGACTCCATGAATGAATGAATGAATGAATGAGCTCCGAGGATTACAGAGAGAAAGGGTCTTGACTCTTGAGCACCTGGGGAGGTCCAGGGCCTGAAAGTAGTAACAGGCAGGAAACAGAGGAAAGCCAGGTCCCCAGATTAAGCTAGGCCTGGGTTTAGCAACTGTTGGGCCTCTACTAACTGTCTCAGTATAGGTGGTATGTGGGGGTGTCGCACACTAGAGGAAGCCCCTTAGCCCTCTAAGCCCAGAGCTTCCCAGAGACAGAGCTGGGGGTGGGAGGGGGGTGGAGGGAGCCCAAATCTGGGATGCAGGAATCACCAGCTTCAAGTCCCAGGGTGTCTTCCTGTGGGTGACACTTGAGCACTGTCTGAACCAGAAGTCACAGAGCACTGGGTCCCTCCCGGAGACATCCACAGCTCCCCTGGCCCTCCAGAAGCCAGGGGAGAAACTGGACAGGGCAGATGACCGCTCAGAAGGCCACCTGCAAGCACCCTGCCCCAGCAGCCACCTAGAGTACAGGCCACAGCCAGCCTCTCCTACATCAGCTGACTCAACCTCTGCCACCTCCCTGCGACACAGCCACTTTGTCATTCCTCTTTTACAGAGAGAACAACCAAGGCTCAGGGAGAGGAAGACCTTTGCCCAAGGTGACACAGTGTATAAGTGACAGAGCAGGGATTTGAACTCAGGCAGTCTCACCCCAGAGGCCCAGGGCTGGGTGTGATAGATATAAAGGCTCACATTAACTGACGATTTGCCACAGGCAGGTGGTGAGCCGCGCACTGGAAGTCAGTTCTCTCACATCGTTCTCCGGGCCGCCCAGTGAGCAGGTATTTTACAGTGACCATCTGAAGGTCAGAGAGGCTGACACTGTCCCAGGTCATGGCCGACTGGGATAACTGGGACTGGAACTGTCCTGCTATGAAGTGAGCAGGCTGGGAACTCGGAGCAACAGAACCAATGCCACTGTCTCGTACCTCCCCACCACTCTCACCAGCCCCGGCTCTGACCCCAGGAGACACTCGGTAAATAGCTTCACATTAACTTAGGAGAGACAGCAGGGGCACAGGCAAGGGGCCAGCGCCAAGCTGAGTGCCCTGAGGAGGACTGTGACCTCTCTGGGCCTCTGCTGCCCTTGGTTTCTGGGCAGAGTATCATGGAGATTAGGAATGAGTCTGGAGCCAAGCTGGAGCAGGTCATCAGTGTGCCATTGCTCTGTGTAGGAAAGGCTGAGTGGTACAGTGGTTAGGAACACAGCCTGAACCCACAGGGCTAGCGTTCCCACCCACTTCTCCTCTCCAATGGCTGTGTGACCTTGGGGAGCTCACTTAACCTCTCTGAGCTTTGCCATCTACAAGTCAGATGATAACGCCCACTTCCTATGCCTACCTACCTCATAGCCAGGGTTAGCTACTATGATTCTCCACAGAACAGCCTGGAGTGAGGTTTTGAAAGATAATTCAGGTCATGCCCTCGCTCCGAATTAAAGCCCTATTCCAGCTTCCCATGTCATTTGGAATAAAATCCAGATTTCTCAGCATGGCCTACAAGGTCCTGTATGATCTGGCCCTAGCCACCCCCGACATCCTTGCACCCTCTCCGTTGTCCCTGGGCTCCAGCCACGCCGGCCTGGACCACAACAGGTTGGCCCTGCCTCAGGGCGTTGCGCTTGCTGTTCCTGCCCCCTGGGCGCTC